TCTTATTTTATTTTATTTATCTTTTTAAATGCTATGTCTCTTTTCTCCCAGGAGGGACGCAAGGTGGGTTGGTTTCTTTTTCTTTTTCTTTTTGAAATATGTTTTACGGGTTTTATTGTAAGCTCTTGGATTGTTTGCCAATAAGCGGGATATAAATAAAATGTATTATTATTTATTATTATTATTATTTTAAAAAATTTAAAATTTCAATAAAATTCAAATAATTAAAATAATCTATGAACAGTATCAAATCAGATAAAAATATACAAAAGCTAAGAAGAGCGTAACTAAAACCCACCTGCTCCATAAAAAACTATCCTGATATGAATTATATATCAAATGCCTGCTTAAATAAAGTCTTGTGCTGCCTTAAAAGACTTGACACGGATATTGTTAAAGCTGTATTTATTGCTGTATTCTATTGCAGTCTTCCCTAATCTGATATGTTCCATATATTTTGGACTATATACCTTTCATCATCCTTATACAGCAGCATTTAGCTATGCCATCTGGGAATGATAGGAACTGTAGTCCAACACCTCTGGAGGACACCGTTGTGGAAAATTGTCTTATTATAGCAGAGCCCAAAATAGAAATAATTGGTTTTGCTTCTGTTTGTTGTCCATTGCCTTAGTTTCCCTCCTCTTCTTCTGCTTTCTTCCGTAGATCGCTTTACAGAAGGAGTGGATGGAAGGTAAATCTCTGTGTGATTTGTAGTAGATCACCAAGGATTTCTGGGTTTCAGTTGTTAAGCAGCAGCCACAACAATAAACAAAATGACTCCCCAGCCTTAAATATATATCCAAAAGTCTAGGGTAATCTAGAGTGTATTTTGTTATGGAAAGGAGGCGAGCGCAGTCCAGTTTTGCTACTGAAAACAAATTCCTGACCTTGGAATAATTTGATTCTACGTATATGGCTTTTCCAGCCAGCTTCAGTGGGTGGGTCTGGCGGTTCATACACCAAAACAAAGCTGATCTCACAAGCCTGAACTCTGTTCAGGCTTGCTTTACAGATTGTAAACCCCTTGGGGCAGAGAGCTGTCCTTGTATGTTTTATAAAGCACTGTGTGAAAAGATGTGTTTTATCTATAGTCAGCCCCCCCACATTTGTGACTTTGACTTTTGCAGATTTGATTATTCATGGATTTG